TTGCCAAGTTGCCCGGGCGGGTCTTGAACCCGTGGGCTCAGGCAATCCACTCACCTCAGCTTCCCAAAGCGCTGGGATTACAAGCTGAGCCACCAAGCCCGGCTGGCACAAGCTGTTTTGTTCTTTTTTACTTTTGTGTTTTACTTTTTTTATTTATTGTAGAGACGAGGTCTCACCAAATTGCCCGGGCTGGTCTCAATCCATGAGCTCAGGCAATCCACTCTCCTTGGCCTCCCAAAGTGCTGGGATTACAGGCTGAGCCGCCGAGCCCAGCCTAATTTTTATTCTTTAATGTTTTTTAGAGACGGGGTCTCATTATGTTGCCCAAACTGGAGCCCAGTGACGCAGTTGTGGCTCACTGCAGCCTCTACCTCCTGGGATGAAGTGGCCTCAGCCTTCCGAGTAGCTGGGACCGCCGGTGCACACCACCACACCTGGATAATTTTTCTTTTATTTTTTTAGAGACAGAGGTCATACCATATTACCCAGGCTGGTCTTGAGCTCCTGGGCTTAAGAGATCCTCCTTCCTCGGCTGGGATTGCAGGTGTGAGCCACCATGCCCAGCCCTGCACAGGTTTTGTTTTTTTTTTTGAGTTGGAGTCTCACTCCATCACCCAGGCTGGAATGCAAGGGCATGCTCATGACCATCCCAGTGTCAACCTGCTGGGCTCTAGCGAGCCTTCTGCTTCAGCCTTTCAAGTAGCCAAAACTACAGGCATGCGCTACCACACCTGGCTAATTTTTGACTTAGTGTAGAGACAGGGTCTCACCAAGTTGCCCGGGCTGGTCTTGAACCCTCAGGCTCAGGCAATCCACTCGCCTCGGCCTCCCAGAGTGCTAGGATTACAGGCTGAGCCATCGAGCCCGGCCCCTGCACAAGTTTTAAAGCTACGCTTTGCTGCCCTCAAGCCCCAAGTAGGTGCCTCGTAGCAGAGATGAGAGTGGGAGGCCAGCGGACTGGGCCAGGCCTCTTCCCCTTAGCTACCTCTGAGCCCCACCCCCACGCAAGGCAGAAGTGGGCCCTGGAAGGCGCAGTAGAGCTGAGACCCAGCCTTTCCAGCCCGAGCCAGGGCCTTCCCGAGAAAGTGATCTTTGCCTGGGCTTTTGTCAGGTCTCTCGAGCTGCATGATGGTTCAGGAGAAGGGGCTGGGAGGCAGTGGCCCTGGGATCGGGTCGGGTCTTTCCTGGTCACATTCCCACCTTCCCTTGGGCAGCCCTCAGAGCCAGTTCCCAGGGATGCCGGCGGCTGGGGAAGTTGTGGCCCTGGAAGTGTCCCACACCAGAGCAGTTGTTTGTTTTCAACAACTGGGTCATTCTGCCTCAGTTTCCAGGGTCACCAGAACCTCCTGGTGCCTTTCTCCCCCTGGTAGACTATTGGTTTCTGGGGCAGGGTAGCCCTGGCCGTCCGTGGCCATGGTGTCTTTTAAGGTAGAATTGGTGCTTGTGCAGGTAGAACTGCCTGGCTGGATCACCCTGGGATGGGAAGTTGAGGGCCAGAACCCTGCAGCCCAGAGGCTGCCAGAGACAGGGTCTGGCCCCCATGGCCAGGGTGTGCGCCGCAGCTCAGAACCGGGGGTTTCTGGAACAGTGCAGAGGCTCTCATGCCCAACGTCATTCCATGTTGGTCAAAGCGTTTGATTTGTCCTTGAAACTACATTGAAGAAGATTTAGAAGCTTGGTGCACCTTAAAGTCACGCTCATGGCCGCAGTGCTTGGCCGCTACTGAGCTGGCCATGGACCCTCAGGGGAAAAGAACTCGAAGGAGCCTGTTTTTGGTTTTTCTTTTTGAGTTGGAGTCTCACTCTGTTGCCCCGACTGGAGTGCAGTGGCATGCTCCCGGCCACCGCAGCCTCGACCTGCTGGGCTCCAGCGATCCTTCCGCCTCAGCCTTCCAACTGCAGGGGCATGCTACCATGCCTGACTAATTTTTTTGATTTATTGTAGAGATGAGGTCTCGCCAAGTTGCCTGGGCGGGTCTCAAACCCGCAGGCTTAGACAATCCACTTGCCTCGGTCTCCCAAAGTGCTGGGATTACAGGCTGAGCCACCAAGCCCGGCCGACAGGAGCCTCAGCTTTTACAAAACTAATGTGCCACAAAGGGAGAGAAACACTCCATGTGCCGTGGATTTTATATTATTTTTTATATTAATTTTCTTATTTCTTTACTTGTCCACTCATTCATTCCTAGAGATGAGGTCTTGCTATGCTGCCCAGTCTGCTCTCAAATTCCTGGGTTCCAGCAATCCTCCCGCCTTGGCCTCCCAAAGTGCCGAGATTGTAGGCGTGAGCCACTGCACCCAGCCTGTTGGGGATTTTTAAGATGAAACGTTGGGGGATATTTTGTCCTGTCCACACGAAAACAGAAAGTCAGATTTTCTTCCAACGTCAGAAACCTTCTGGGTCCCCCCATGCCCCAGAATTCTCTCCCTCAGCCCTGTCCAGAGGGCTGCGGGTCTGAGGGGCACAGGGTGCAGGCCCTGAAGTCAGGGATCGCCCCCATCTTGCGGGGTGGAGCCCGGCCACCCTGTCCCATTCGCATCCAGACCCGCAGCACCCTGGCCTCCACTCTCCTTGTCTGCATCTCTCCCCGGGGCTCCCTGACCCTTGACCTGCTTGAAGCCATCCCGGGACGGGGCGCTCGTCCCCTCACGCAGTGTGTCCTCCATCTGTCCCCACCGTGGGCTTGTTCTCAGCGGCCCCCTTGAGACGCCCTCGCTGGTTCTGCTTCTGTCCTCCACGTGGGAAGCATGCCACCCACTCCCTGACCGAGCCCTCCTGAGCCCCCTGGTGTTAGTGGTCGCTCGTGTACCTTCCCCTGCCCCCGCCAGGCCTTAGCCTCAGCACATTTCTTGCCAGAGCCCCGTAGGATCAGTGGTGGCTTTTGCCACCAGGTCTCTGTGGCGGCCAAGTCGCCATGATCAGTGTCGGCCCACATGGCCCTGTCGCCTCAGCCCCACGGGACTTAGGACCCACCCAGGCTGGGGCCCCGGACGGTGTGGTGTTTCTGTTTGAAGCCAGCTGGTTAAACACTATAGGCTGAGCCGCTCCCTAAAGCCTAAAGCCATAGAAAGACTTGTCACTGGAAGCTCCAGCTTACCCACCAGCTTCTGACTGGACTTCACGTGGGCAAAGGTCCCCAGTGTGTGGAGGTGGGAACTTTATTTATTAATTTTTGAGTTGGAGTCTCCCTCCGTTGCCCAGTCTGGAGTGCAGGGGCACTCTCACTGCCACCCCAGCATCAACCTGCTGGGCTCTGGCGATCCTTCCATCTCATCCTTCCAAGTAGCTGGGACTACAGGCGCACACTACCACGCCTGGCTAATTTTTTGATCTGTTGTAGAGTTGAGGTCTCACCAAGTTGCCCAGGCTGTTTTCGAACCTCTGGGCTCAGGCAGTCCCCTCACCTCAGCCTCCCAAAGTGCTGAAATTACAGGCTTAAGCCACCGTGCTTGGCCAAGAGATGGGAACTTTAGACATTGAAGGGATTAGTGGGTGGCTGCGGGAACCCGGGATCACTCCAGCACCTTTTTCTTCTAGGGCGTCTGTCTCTGGGGGTCCCAGACTCTCCCCCTCAGCCATCGCATCACCCTCTCATGCTCTTGAGGTCTAAGAGGGCTGGTGTTCATCTTACCAGGCCAGTGGGTGCTGCCCTCGGGCTGGCAGTGGATGTCTGCAGCGCCCGGTGCTCCTGGCGGGTCAGTGGAACGTGCCAGGCGTGGGCCGTGCTCACCCCTCGTCCCTGTGTGTTGCAGAGGAAGATGGACAGCCGCGAGTACCCCGACGCACAGGGCTTCGCTGCCGACATCCGGTTAATGTTCTCGAATTGCTACAAATACAACCCCCCAGACCATGAGGTGGTGGCCATGGCCAGGAAGCTCCAGGTAACGCGATGCTGAGCATGGTGGGATTCGCAGCTCAGGGTAGCCCCGTGGGCATCCTAGCCCCTGGGACAGGGGCTCCCAGGTGGGCACCCAGCCGGGGAGTGAGGGGGAGCAGGCCAGCAGCCGGGTCCCTGCTGGGCCCCGAGCCTGCTTCCTGGGAACATGGGGGGACTCTGCTTTTCAGGGGCCATGGGCCAGGGTGGACAGAGCCACACTCACTGCCTGGGCTCCGGGGGTGGTGCTGTGGCCTTTCCCCTCAGGGCAGGGCATGCCCAGGTGGGACGGCAGACATCTGTTCTCCTGTGGCTTTGTGGCCTGATGTTTCTGGCAGGTCTCTGGTGAGGGAGGCCTTGTGACAGGGTCCTGTCATGAGGAATTAGGTGACAGTTCCTTGTGTTGCTTGTTGCTTTTCTGATAACAAAAGTAAAAGGCATGTGGGAGCCAGAGCCAGGGGGTGTCTTCAGGGTTGACAGGAGCGCCCCTGTCTGGCCTTTCAGCACAGGGATGTTGTGTCCATGCCCAAATCCCTCCACAGAGATGCTTGTGTGTGCCTGTGTGTGCTCACATGTGGGTGCATGTGTAAACATCTCTGCCGAGGGTGGGGGGACAACGTGCTAGGATGTAGTCTACTTTCCTTTTCTTTTTGTGGTTTTTTTTTTTTTTTTTGAGTCAGCGTCACTCCGTCACCCAGGCTGGAGTGCAGTGGCACGCTCACGGCCACCCCAGCGTTGACCTGCTGGGCTCCGGCCATCCTTCCGCCTCAGCCTACCAAGTAGCCGGAACTACAGGTGTGTGCTACCACGCCCGGCTAACTTTTTGATATATTGTAGAGATGAGGTCCCATCAAGTTGCCCAGGCTGGTCACAAACCCCTGGGCACAGGTAGTCCTCTCGCCTCGGCCTCCCGAAGTGCTGGGATTACAGACTTGAGCCACTGCGCCCGGCCTGCTTCCCTTTTCTAACTGATCGTGCAGGTTGTTGGCTTTTATACATAACAGCGCCTCATCCAGAAATTAGCCGGGTGTGGTGGCACATGCCTGTAGTCCCAGCTACTCGGGAGGCTTAGGCAAAAGGACCGAGGAGGTCGAGGCTGCAGTGAGCCGTGATTGTGCCCCTGCACTCCATACTGGGTGACAGAGACAGACACTGACACACACACAAAAAAAAGTAGTACCCATGTTATACATGTTATAGAATCAAAGGACTTTCCTCTTGGAGGAAAAAATAAAAACCATGGGTACGTGTGCACTTCTGGTATTTGTCCCCTGTTTAAGGACCCAGGACGTTGTGTAAGATGCCCTAGTCCCTTGCTCAGAACCGTTCTGAAATCCCTGAGCAGTTGAAGGTATTAATCTGGATTACCTGGGACAAGCTGGCGGTGGCGGGAGGTGTCTCCGTGCCGCAGAGTCCTGCTGGCATTTCGTAGTACGGGCCCTGCCTCCGGTCCTCTCCCGGGTGCTGCTGCCTGCTGTGTACTGGGTCCCACATGAAACACGACAGAGTGGTCCTGGAGGAAGCCACCAGGATCCCTGTTTTTGCTTGTTTGTTTTAAATTTGAGTTGGGGGTCTCACTCTGTTGCCCAGGCTGGCGCTACAGGAGCATACCACCATGCCCAGCTAATTTATTTTTTATTTTGTCGAGAAGGGGGTCTCGCTGTGTTACCCAGGCTGGTCTTGAACTTGTGGGCTCAAGCAGTCCTCTCGCCTCAGCCTCCCGAGTGCTGGGATTACAGGCATGAGCCACCGCACCTGGCCAACCGCCAGTTTTACATTGCGTCCTTTGCTCGCTGTGTCTGGAACCCAAAAGGCTTCGCACATCACAGTCGTCCTCTGGAAGCTGGGAGAGTCCACGTTAAGCGTGGGTTGAGCTTATAAGGGCTCCATGTGGACTTGCCACCAGCATGGGGCCAGCAGCTCTGACTCTGCTCCCACAAAAGGTGCTGCCAGCAGCATGACCCCCACGGCCGATGGGGCTTGGTTAGTGACTGCTGTTGAGGAGTTGCGCTGTTTTATCAACTGAGGCGTGGGTTAGAATCCAGCCCTGCAGATGACAGACTTCAGTGGCCTTCAAGGCTATTGACAGGGAACAGGTTGAGTGGCGGTGGTTTCTGTCAGGGCGCTGTAGGTCAGCGTGCCTCTGGGGCCGTCTCTCGAGAGCAGAGCCTGGCTGGAAGCGGGACTCCAGCCTGAGGAGCGGAGCTGCAGCCTGTGTGTTCACTCGTGTGGATTCAGGTGTGTGAACTTGGCAGAGAGCAACCGGCCAGGTGTGGTGGCTCATACTTGGAATCCCAGCACTTAGGGAGGCTGAAGTGGGAGGATCGCTTGAGCCCAGGAGTTCAAGACCGGCCTGGGCAGCATAGCAAGACCCCGTCTCTGCAAAAATTTAAAAAATTACCCGGGCATGGCATCCCATGCCTGTAGTCCCAGTTACGCGGGAGGCTGAGGTGGAAGGGTGGCCTGAGCCCAGGAAGTTGAGGCTGCGGTGAGCCATGAGCATGCCACTGCACTCCAGCCTGAGTGACAGAGTGAGACCCCTTCTCAGAAAACAAAAGGAAACCTCCTGTATTTCTCCCATGTGAGCCTGGGCTGCCCAGGAAGGGGATCTTCTCGGAGCCAGGCTTCTGAGGGCCTGGGTCTGGATGTGAGGGTTTTGCCTGCGCCCATTTTCACAGGCCGAGACTTGCCTTTGGAGCCAGTGTTGGGAGTCAACCTGCATGAGGCGTGAGGCGGCCATAAAATGAAGAGGTCGAGAGACCCGAGAACATAAACCGGTCCCCAGGTCCCCGTGGTTAGCAGACCCTATCCAGGCTCAGCCCTGCGGATCCTGGGCCCGGGTACTGTCAGGGCCTCGCGTCTCTGTGAGACAGCTTGCGGGCTCAGAGGCTGGCTCTGGGCTGGCTGGACCCCATGTCCCTGCTCCTGGGATGCCCTCTTGCTGGGAGCAAGGACTGGTGGACCAGTCTCCTGCAGGGTCTGACCTCCGGGGCAGCCATGGGCACCGCCGAAGGCATCTCAGGACCCCGGGACCACGCCGAGGGCCCCCGTGGCGTCCAGGTCCTCAGGGCGGCCCCTGTTGCCCCCCAGGACGTGTTTGAGATGCGGTTCGCCAAGATGCCAGACGAGCCCGCGGAGGCACCCGCACTGCCCGCGCCCGCAGTCCCCGTGGCCGGCAAAGGTGCTGAGAGCAGCCGCAGCAGCGAGGAGAGCTCGTCGGACTCCGGCAGCTCGGACTCGGAGGAGGAGCGCGCCACCCGGCTGGCGGAGCTGCAGGAGCAGGGGGGAGCTGGCACTGGGCTGGGCCCCGAGGTGGGGCCGCAAGTGGCTCAGCGGCTGAGGTCTGCCCCTTCCGAGGGCTTGCCGGGCGCAGCGGTCCAGCCGCGGCGTGGCATTTCTGCATCCCGGAGGCGCTCTGAGGACCCTCCCCAGGCCTGGCCTCTGAGCACCGAGGGTGGCTACGTGGACGTGTGTCTGCGTGGACCCATTCCTGGAGGCCTCGTGTGCCGTGGGGTGGGGGCCTGGGGCGCCCATGGTTACCACACTGCCCTGGAAAGTTCTGGAAGGCGCTGGCTGAGGCTGTGGCACTGGCGTCTCTGAGCAGCCTCAGCACGCTCACCGCCCTCCCCCGCCCGAGCCCTGTTCCCACCCAGGACGTGTTTGAGATGAGGGCTCGTCCCCATCTGGCTTCCGGGCTTTGGGGGCGGCGGAGCGGCCGTCTCGCCTCTGCCCCACTGCCGATCTGCACCTCCCCCTTAGTCATTTGCAATACGGGACTGGTGCTCCCTCCTTGGAGTCGTTCTGGGAGGAACTGAGAGAAAGGAGAATTGTGTCCCGAGCATCTGGAGGCAGCCGGGCGCGGCTTCTGGGACCCTGCGGGAAGGAGGAGGACCGCCCGGGTCGGGGCCCTGAGTCCAGGAACGGCCCTGCGGGGTGCCAGGGTGGGACTGGTGGCCGTGAGGTGAGGCCCTGGGACTGCAGGCCTTGCACTGACCTCCTAGAGGCTGCCATCCTCACCCGCGCCGCCATGCGGCTCACAGGCCTCTCCTTTCCCGCTGGGAGGGCGGCAGGAGAGGAAAGCATGGGAGGCTTGGCCCTCCGTGGCTGTGGGGCTGCTGGCAGCGAAGCATTTAAAACCCTATAGACAGCCGGGCTCAGTGGCTCAGCGACTCAGCCTGTAGTCTCACGCCTTGGGAGGCTGAGGTGAGTGGACGGCCTGAGTCTGCAGGTTCGAGACCCTCCTGGGCAACTTGGCAAGACCTCATCTCTACAATAAATCAAAAATTAACTGGACGTGGTAGTGCGCACCTGTAGTTTCAGCTACTTGGAAGGCTGAGGCGGAAGGATCGCCAGAGCCCAATGGGTCAAGGCTGCGGTGGCCAGGAGCGGCCACTGCACTCCAGTCAGGGCGACAGAGTGAGACTCTGACTCAAAAAAAAAAAGAGTGTGCCAGGTAAGCCGGGCTCGGTGGCTCAGCCTGTAATCCTGCGCCTTGGGAGGCTGAGGTGAGTGGATTGCCTGAGCCCGTGGATTCGAGACCCGCCTGGGCAGGCGAGACCTCATCTCTACAATAAATCAAAAAATCAGCCGGGCGTGGTAGTGTGCGCCTGTAGTTCAGCTACTCGGAAGGCTGAGGTGGAAGGATCACTGGAGCCCAGCAGGTCGAGGCTGCGATGGCCGGGAGCAGCCACTGCACTCCAGTCTGGGCGACAGAGTAAAATTAAAATAAAAATAAAACCCTATAGACCTGCTGTTGGTGTCAGGCGTTCTCCCAGAAGTGGGTTTGTGTAGGCATGTAAGCCTTCAGAGTCTTTCTCATCTGAAACACCATGATTTTTTATTTTTTTGCCCGAGTCTCACTCTGTCACCCAGACTGGGATGCGCTGGCACGATCACAGCCACTGCAGCCTTGACCTGCTGCGCTCAGGCAGTCCTCCCACGTCAGTCTCCCAAGTAGCTGGGACTACAGGCGTGCCCCACCACACCCAGCTAATTTTTTGATTTATTGTGGAGAAGAGGTGTCACTGTGCTGCCCAGGCTGGTCTTGAACTCCTGGGCTCAAGCAGCGCTGCCACCTCAGCCCCCAAAAGTGCTGGGATCACAGGCGTGGGCGACCATGCCCAGCCTGAGAGACCATCATTAACAACACTGCTGGTAGGCAGGCAACTCTCCTGTCACTGTTATGCCCACTTCTCCCTCACAGCGTCCTCAGTAAACCTGCTTCTCTCCTCTAAAAAGAAATAAAATCACACAAATAGCCGCGGCAGCCATCAGGTCCCCGTTGTACCACCTGCCCTGCAAATGGCACTCGGCCCCTCTGCGGGTAAGGAGGCCGAGGCCGAGGAGGTCCAGGGCGCACAGGAGGGGCGGGCAGGTCTGTCTGCCCCTCGAGGCACAGTGGGGCCCAGCGGCTCCCGGCTCACCTCCAGCCCCCCCAGGCAGCTCCGGATCCCCCCCGCCCGCCCCCACACCCACGGCGCCCTTGCTGCCCGGCCGTGCTCAGCCGCCTGCTCTCTTGCAGCTGAAGGCCGTGCACGAGCAGCTGGCCGCCCTGTCTCAGGCCCCAGTGAACAAACCAAAGAAGAAGAAGGAGAAGAAGGAGAAGGAGAAGAAGAAGAAAGATAAGGACAAGGAGAAGGACAAGGACAAGCACAAGGCCAAGTCCGAGGAGGAGAAGAAGGCCAAGGTGGCCCCGCTGGCCAAGCAGGCCCCGCAGAAGAAGGCTCCTGCCAAGAAGGCCAACAGCACGACCACGGCCAGCAGGTGGGCGCCGCCAGGGACGCCAGACCGGGGTGCTTCGCGCCTTGGAGGCGTGGGGAGGCTGTGAGGGCCTCTGCTGGGAGAGCTGGGGGTGCTCGGCCCCTGCAGGGCTGGCCTGGCCCTGGGCAGGGAAGCACTTGCCCCGCCCAGCCTCCGCGTCTTGAAGCTTTGGGGGTGTTTTCCCGATCTGAGCCCAGGGTCTTTCTTGGGGAGACTTGAGCGCCTCATTCCTGGCTCGCCCAGTAGCCAGGAGTCCAGGGGCTGGACTTGTGCCCGGGTCCACTCAGCTGCCTTACTTAGCTCTGGCTGTGGCTGGGACCTCCCTGGGGTGCCCACAGAGGCCACGGAGCAGGATGACGCTCAGGCTGGGATTCCTCCCCCAGCCAGGCAGGAGGGAGGCTTCCCAAGGAGGAGGTGACGGCTGTGGGAGCAAGCCGGCGGTGGAAGGCCGGGGAGAGGGGTCCTGGAACAGGGAACAGTGGGCACCAAACTGTGGAGACCAGCAGGACCTGTTCCTTCTGGGAATTAGGACACAGTTGGCACAGTTGACAAAGGACAAGTGGGGCAGGGTGGGTGGCTGGCCTTGGGGCCTAGGAGGAGGAGGGGAGGAGCATGGGTATCCTGGGCAGGGTGTGGATAGCTGGGTGAGCGTTGCGGCCGACCGTGGGGTGCTCAGGGCCGTCCTTCCCTTCCCTCCCTCCCTCCTTCCTTTCTTTTCCCCCTTCTCTTCTCTTCTGGAGGAGGATACAAAAGTTCTTTTGTGTGTGTGTGTGTGTGTGTGTGTGTGTGTTGGAGTCTCACTCTGTCACCCAGA